GGACAATTGTAATCAGTAAATTATTGATTTATTGATTGATCAGATCATTCTGAGGTGACGACTTCATGAAGAGTTTTCACGTCTTTCTGAGACTCACTTCTCCACAAACTCAAAGCTGACTTTAAAGATTCCTCCAGATGTTTTCAGAGTAAACACTATCAGATCCATGTAAATGGTAAATGGCCTGCATTTGTAAAGTGCTTTACTCAGTCTAAGGACCCCAAAGCGCTTTACACTACATTCAGTCATTCACACATTCACACACTGGTGAAGGCAAGCTACGTTGTAGCCACAGCTGCCCTGAGGTGCACTGACAGAGGCGAGGCTGCCGGACACTGGCGCCACTGGGCCCTCTGACCACCACCAGTAGGCAAACACGGGGTTAGTATCTTGCCCAAGATAGGAGCCAGGAGACAGCCTGGGATCGAACCACCGACCACTGGTTAGTGGCTGACCTGCTCTGCCACCTGAGCTACAGCCACAGTATTAAATATACTGCAAGCTGAATATTGTGTTTTCACAACATTCATAATATTCTCATAGATAGAGGTATTTTTTTCCAAATTGAGAAATGCAGTTAAACAATAGAACATCGAGAAGCTGAATTATATGATTTTGATTATTAATACTGCAACAGACAGTTTGCCAGGTAGACTCATGAACCACAGTCGTGCATTTGAATCTGACTAACGTGCCTGTTTGTTCATCAGAGATGCTTTTTGAATCTCACACTGTGTGTAGTGCTTTTAAGTAAAAACAAGCTTTTTCCCAATTTTAAAAAATGGGTAGAAGTTGAATTTTGTTTACACAGTGTGCATTTTGTGAAGTCTTTTATTATAGCAGTTTGAGTTCACAGATTTTCACTCTCACACTCTCACGACACAAGAGGTTGCCTCAAGTGGTTCGTGAGATAAAGGCGGCCTTCATAATGACAGGAGACAACCCTGCATCTCTGTCTAGCGCTATCTCTTTTTCACACTTCATTTCCTCCCTCCCACTACTCTCTTTCCCTGCTTTCTCTCTCCACAACAGACTGAAACCCCCCTAAAGGTAACAAGGTAAATTAAAAGGCAGCGCGGTAATTCTAAAATTAAGTTTGTCGCTCTTTCATGTCACACCCTTCCCACTCTCTGCCACTACACTACTAAGGAAACGCTTGGCCCAGAGATTCACATGGTCTCGGGTGACATGTCTCTGCGAAGCGTCTTCGAGTTGGTTTCGCTGCCGCTGTTTCCTTCGCCATGACACCTCAGATTTGTCAGCAATGGCTGCGACACAGCTTTCCTAGCGAGGTGTGAGGGGAAGCAGAAAGCCAAAGGTGAAAGGAGCTGACAGTGACATGCATGCACATAATCTGAGACACATTTATACTCACTTTAATCTTCACACTTACAGTTTTTCTAACTTTCTTGCACACGCGTACCCACTCCTGCGTCAGACACGCAGCGCACCACACTTGTACACAATACCGCTTACAGCTTGAGGAGGTGTTGATGGATAAGACATCTGGAGTTGGCTGACAAGGAGAGAAAATGAGGGAGAAAAAGAGGAGCAGAAAAAAGAGGCAGAATCTGGAAGAGAGAGAAAGAGGAAGGAAGCAGACTGAAAATATTCAGGCAGCGGAAAGGAGAGAGATGCAGAGGGAGAGAGGAAGGCAGAGGAGAGGCTAAAGACGAAGATGTGCGGCAGGTTTTTAAGAAGTGAGACACGGGGAGAGCCAGCTGTTCCCAATCTTATTCTCTCACTGTAAGAGTTCAGAAGGATTTCCGTGCTGTTGCTCAAGGATATGACTGCATATATCCACAATATTTGCCTGACTTTAACCTTATTTGATGACTTATGTCTCCACATGTCAGAGGTAATGAAAGTACTGCAAGGGAAAGCTGCTCCAGTCAGCAGCGGTAGTAATGGGATTTACACAACTTTCACCGCTGCGGGTCGACAAATGAAGATGGTGTTGAAGTTCACTGGTGGAGAACTTGTGGCGGGAGGTGCGCAGCACAGTTATTCAATTCCAGGAATTAGATATAACTAGGGATGGGTATCGTTTAGGTTTTATCCGATAACGGTGCTCAAACCGGTGCTTAAAGAATGGAGAACACAAAATTGGTCCAAAAACCTCTCATGTTCAGCTGTT